ATTTAAGTTAATTATACTTTAAAGTGGTGTTGGTTATCTTTTAAATTGATAATAGGTCAGTTGGTCTATATATTCTTACTTGGAAAGTTATGGGATCTATTTTTACCAAACAAAGATCGATTATTTCCTTTCTATTATAAGATTTGTATTATGTTGTTATTTCTTCTCATTATAAATTTTCTTATGATGGTTGAGTTTCTAGTTATGTGTTGTTAGACCATAATTGTTCAATTTCATGTGGAAAATAAAAAATAAAAAATCATATTTGTAATTAAAAATCTTCAACGCTTAAAATAAATAAATAGATATATCTAAATGTGAGTAACCAAATATAATGTTAAGACAACCTTACATTATTAAATTCAAATCCAATCATTTTAAATTCATGAACCCAAATAGAACCTTAATTCCTTGTTCATGGCATGTATTACAAAATAATAATAATAATAATAATAATCATAAATAAATAAAATTTGGAGTTGATTTGAATATCATTCAGGTGACCCATAATTGCTTAGTTGATGGCTTTGGTTAGCATTGGAGGCCAAACATGAATAGATATAATAGAATTGAATTCAAAAAATAAAAATAAAAATGGGTCAACTAGTATAACAACAAATTTAATGACAAATTATAGATTCTTGATTCTTGAAGTAGTTGAACTACAACTTACAGCCCTTAGGCCACATTAAATACACCCTTAAGTTGTGCTTTGGGATTGTCTTATGCTTTAATTTAATGAGTTATGGCACCCTAACATACATGAGCTACACAAGTTGACAAAGTCCTTGTTTAACACAAAAATAAATAAATAAAAATAAAATTTAATTGACGAATCCAATGCAATTAGTAACATTATATTTAAGGAAAATGCATTGGACCCCCAGTGGGGGTGCTGGGAGTCCTTGCTGATTGGCTGGAAAACATTTTTTTTTTTTTTTTTTGAACTTCAGCCACTGGCAATGTGCCATGTGGCACTAGGGTGCTGGGGGTGCCTAGTCACTGGGGGTCTCCAGTATCACTCTATATTTAAGGTCAAGTTTGGGAAGACTAAATAAGTGTACTTTTTGACTTTTTATGAAATATGGGTTGGATTTGAGTTGGGTTTGAAGTGATGTGTTAGAGAGGTGATGTGACTTAAATAAGATGATGTGATTTAAATAGGATAGTGACTTTTTGACTTTTTAAATTTTTTAGAGGATGCCGAACTTCACCAAGGATCCTCTAGAATGAAATTTTCCTAAAGTTTCCACACAGTGTAACACTCTAGAAAACTTTAAAAAAAAATGACTCTAGAGGATCCTTGCTCGCCGAACTTGGCCTAAATTGTGGCGCCTTATAATCTCAGTGCCAACAAATGCCTTTGGTTTCGCTTGATAGGAACCATCTAAAACGATTCATTGCGTATGATATTGTTTAGTAGATAATCTTACTCGTACTGATCTCTAAAGCTTGCGACTATTACGCATTAGTAATGTTGTATCCTCTAATGCTGTAATGCTGCATTTAAATTACGAATTTATAAAAATAAAATAGATAAATAATGTATGAAATAAAAACTTTATTAACAAAATGCAAAGACGTCCTCATTTGAACCCAACTGTGCCCTCATCAATGCTAAGAAGGATGGAGGAGAGAGAAGCCCCAAAAGTTAAGATGGATATAGGACTAAGGTATGTTTATTTATTACTATTAGCTACTACACTTAAATAATGAACGTGTTAAGGACCTCTGTTAATTCCTTAAACCAAAACAACGTAAAAATATTTTGGAAGGCGATTTAGTTGGGAGTAAATTACAAGTTTTACCGGCAAATTTTTATTCAAATTTTATTGGGATAATTATAAAATTTAAAAAAAAAATACAGGATTTGAGTCATGTAACAAAACAAATTATTAATTTTATCAATATCAATTTAAATCTTAAATTTTTTTATTTTTTTCAAATTAAATCATTTGTCTATTTTCGTTAAATAAAACCGACAAAAAATGAGTATTTTAATCATTAAACTTAAGGCAAGTATATATACATAAAATGTTTAAGATACACTTTTCATTTAATTTAATAACTAAAATACTTATATATTTTTTTATCGATTTTATTCAATAAAAATAGACAAATAGTTTAGATTGAAAACAAATCAAAAGTTTAAATTTAAATTGACAAAATTAAAAACTCAAGATTTATTTTGTTACAAGGCTTAAACCTTAGATTTTTTTTTTTTTTTTTTTTAATTGTTCCAATTTAATTTTATTCTCTTGTCTTTTATATATAACAATGAATATTTAAATTTTGACCCGTGTTTCAATTTGATCCTCCTATCACTTACCATTAAAAATTTAGAAAAAAAAACTGCTCTCATAAACATATTTTAAGAGTATTATTGTGGGAAACTTACGTGTAAGTTCTAATAGGTAGACTTATTGTCCACTAGGTCCTATGAGAATTAATGACATTTTTCATAAAATACTATTAAAAAATGTCACTAATTGTTAATTTTCAGCGACAATTTAAAAATTGTCACAAAAAATGTCACTAATTATAAGTATTAGCGACGATTTAAAAATATCATCACAAAAAAAGTCACTAATTTTTAATTTTCAGTGACAGTTTAAAAAATTCGTCACAAAAAAATATCACTAATTGTAAGTTTTAGAGACAATTTGTAAAAATTGTGACAAAAAAAAGTCATTAATTATCAATTTTTAATGATATATGCAAAAAAAAAACAAAAAATTATTTTTATCAACGATTTTATTAAGACTTATTTTCAATAAAACTTGATGAAAATTAAATTCAACTTTTAAGACCTATTGATAGTTTAACCAAAAAGGAATTCACTTTCACTGTCTAACTTTTACACAAATTTCACTTTTGTTTATCATATTTTAATTTTTACTCAAATTTCAAACGATGGAGTGATAAGAAGACCATATCAAAACACGAATTGAAATTTAAAAACTTAATTATTATATTTAAAAAATTAAAAATCAAATTAAAATTTGAATAAAAATTCAAAAGTAAAATAAAAAAATTTAAAAAAAAAATTATAATTTACCATATTTAATAACTTTTGGTAAACCTTAAGTGGAGGACAATTTGGTTACAATTCATACTCCACCCGGCCCAAGCCAGTATGGTCCAAAATTCCAACCCATTTCCAACCATAACTACCACTTTTTTATTATTATTATTATTATTATTATTATTATGTCAATTGATAGAATGAAGAAATTATAAATATGAAAAAATTACATTAAATAAATTACTAATCCAAATAATAACTAGAAAGTAATCTATTGCTCCTTTTATTGGCCAATTATTGGGTATGTCAGAAGCACGGCCATGTGGTATTCTATGATATTATTATGATTCGTAGAGAATGTGAGATATTATAGTAAATGATGATTGATGAAAAAATATTGACACATGAAAATCCGAAAATATCTAATAATTTTGCCTTTTATTAATAACAATCACAACATTATTGGTTCCATCTTGAAGACTACTTAACTTATCCTAATTTAGAACTTTTTTTAAAAAAAAAAAAAAAAAAACTCCTTAAAAAAACTCGCTTAAGAATAGGTTATTTTAGTAAATTTTTTATTTTTTAACTAAAATATGAAGTAAAAAAAATTAGTATATTTGGAATGACTTTTTAATTTTTTACAAAAAATTTTACAAAAAGTATAAAGAACATAGAATCTTTGACTTTTTTGTATAGGTTATAGGCTTTTTGAGTTTTTTAGTAATTTTTTGACTTTTAAACTAAAACTATTACTTCCCAATTAATCTAATTAAGATTATTTATGGATTTTTATATTGAAGTTATTTCCTCCAAGGACTTTATCGTTAAAAAAATTAGGGCTGAGTAAGGAATCCGTAAAATTTGTAATCCGATCTGATTCTGTCCAATCTAGTAAGTTTGGATTGATTTTTTGAATCCGTGGTTTGGTTCCAGGTTGAAAAATTAAAAATCCGTAGTCCACGGATCGGTTCCGGATTAAACTCCACGATTCTGAATTGGAACCGATCCGGACCATATACAAATAGTCTATATTTATATTATACAGCCTCCTACATAATATCTTCTCTTATTCCATATAAAACCTAAACTCAAACCTAAACCAGCGTAATATCTTCTTTTATTGCTTTTGTTTGTTGGTTTTTAGTTTTAATTTGTAATGGTCTAAATACTTATGGTTGTTTAAATTCTAGAACAGTATATCCCTATTATGGAAAGACATGTTGACATGTTGCTATTGCGGAATTAATATGATGTTATGTTTATGTTTTTATGAAATTAAAATGTTCTATATTTAGTTATTTATTTTGTTATTTAATTATGTGAATCCATTGTTCTAAAACCGATCCAATCCGTGTTTAAATAGATTGGTTCCCCAATTTAAACAGATTGAATTGATTCTAATTTTTCAAAAACCATAAATAACGAATTGATTCTGATTTTACTCTAATCCAAATCAATCTAAACTATGCTCACCCCGAAACCCGAAAGAAAACCCACAATGATTCCTCCTAATAGAAGTATTGATTTAAAATAGGTTGTTGTTGGTTGATAGTAGTTACTCATATAAGAATGGATTTCCTTTTTATTAAGAAAGTGATTAGAATTCTATCACTTGTGAAATTGAGGTCTCACTTTAATCATTTAAATTATAATTATCCAATCTCATCATATATATCTTTAAAAATAACTGACAATAAATATTGTCTTAATAATATTATTTTGAAGATAAACTTGATATTATATAATTATAATTATTAAATTAATTTAATAATTTAAAAATTTTGAATTAACTACTTTCGAAAATAATCAAATTCAACACCTCTTCTTCAATCATCAAATTATCAACAACAAAAATCTAAAATTACGGACAAATCGTATTTGTATCCACCAATAGCACATATATACAAACACACACTATGCCTATATATATGTCCCACTTCCATAACTCCCTTTTACCACTTGGCCTTCCCTTCATATATAGATTTATAGAGTGATTGAAATCAACTCAATGCTGTCCCATGAACAAAAAGAATATATATATATTTATACATACACATATCACCATCTCTCTGTCTCTCTCTGTATTTGTGTTGAATTGAATAAATGCTGATTAAGCCCCGTAGCCTTCGCTCATTACTCCGTTTATTCCTCCATTGAACAACAACAACAACAGAGATTCATCACAAACTCATCCTCTCACACTACAAGTGGATATACTCTTAATCCTCTCCACCTATTAAGCAAAAAATTATCCTCATGCCTAATCTCTCTCTCTCTCTCTCTAGATAAATCATAAGAGAGAAATTCATTGTCATCTCTTTCTCTCTCTCTCTCTCTCTTCCAAATCAAAACAACCACGTTGTTTTGACTAAATGGGTATCCTCACTTTTAGCTCTCTCTCATCAATTCAATCCATATAGTTTCTCAAACGCACACATACACCCTCCATTTTTTTTAACTCTTCCTTCACACACTTTCTCATCTAACTACTCCTACTACTACTAAATGGACGACTATCTAAGAGAAATACAAGGCAAAACAGCCCATGATCCTCACTCCACCACCAAAACAAGCAGTTCTCCCAGATGGGTTTTCGTCCCGGGACCCATCATCGTCGGTGCTGGTCCCTCCGGCCTGGCTGCCGCAGCCTGCCTGAAAGTAAGAGGTGTTCCAAGCACAGTACTAGAGAGATCAAACTGCATAGCTTCTCTGTGGCAGCTCAAGACCTACGATCGTCTTCGCCTCCACTTGCCGAAGCAATTCTGTGAATTGCCACTCATGCCTTTCCCTGAAAACTTCCCAACTTACCCTACAAAACAACAGTTTGTGGAGTACTTGGAAGCTTATGCTGAGAAATTTGATATTACGCCAGTGTTTGGAGAGGCAGTGGAGAGAGCGGAGTTCGATGAGAGTTTAGGGTTTTGGAGAGTGAGGAGTAGTGAGGGGAGAGGGTATGTGTGCCGGTGGTTGGTGGTGGCGACCGGAGAGAATGCGGAGGCGGTGGTGCCGGAGATTGAAGGGAGGAGGGAGTTTTTGGGGCCTATTTTGCATACAAGTTTGTATAAGAGTGGTGAGGTTTTTAGAGGGAAGAGGGTTTTGGTGGTTGGTTGTGGGAATTCTGGAATGGAGGTTTGTTTGGATCTTTGCAACCATAATGCTACGCCTTCCTTGGTGGTCAGAGAAACAGTAAGTATAGTTTTAATAATCGTCATAGTTTAAATAACTGTATCCAGATATATCTATCAAGTAAATTGATATTTTATTTAAAATCTTAATCTCAGTTTTTTCTTTCAAATTAAGAATTCCCTGTTCTTAAATCTGCTTCGTGTCAATATTCATGAAATTCGCGCTTTCGAGGCAAAGTATCTGAGTAAAGTTGGTTGAAATTTTTGTTTTTTTGTTTTTTTTTAATGTAAGTCAAAAGAATTTAAGAAAAGGTAATTCAAGATTTTTGAAATTTCTTTTTGTTTCAAACGTGTGTGTTTTTTTCTTTTCTTTTTTGGGTTTTGTTTTTTTTTAACTGTTTGTGTTAGTGACACTTTAGTGCGTTCAAGTTTTGTTTATTTAAAATTGATCATAATCTATAAATATATATATAATTTTAATAATAACAATAGTTTTAAACACGTAGTTTAAGTTCAAAATCTCGATATGTATCGACTAAGCTAATTTTTAAAAGTATAATCACAATCTTTTATTTTGATCTAAGAATTTTATTCTTAAATTTCACTGTTCTCTTGTCAATATTCATAGTCGAATCTTGACATTTGGAGAATTTTTTAATAGAGTAAAGTTGTTGAAATTAATTGAATTTTTTATTTTTATTTTATATAAGTCAAAAGAATTTATGGAAAGGCAGGTCAAGATTATTGAGGTTTCTTTTAGTTTTGAAATTAAACAAAAAGAAATTACTTTTTTCGATTTTGTTTTTTTCAACAGTTTGTGTTAGTGCCTTTTAGTGCGTTCAAGTTTTGTTTATTTATTCAAAGTTGATCACAATCAATATATTTTGGTTTAAGAGAAAATCGTTGTTTTACTTCACTTTCTTGGGATTCCCTAGCATGCGCAACAATGTTCAGAAACTAGTGTTTGATTTCACAATCATGCATATGATTTTCTTCTCTTTTCTTTTTACTCTCTCTCTCTCTCTGGAAACGGTTGTAAAGGTTGAGTCATGGCCTGGAAGCAATCTCTCACACACACCCATCTCTCTTTTTAAGTAGTGTCCTATCTTTTTGTGACCCAATTTTTCTTTGAATTTGATCATGATTAAGGTACACGTCCTACCACGAGAAATGCTTGGAAAATCAACTTTTGGGCTGTCCATGTGGTTGCTCAAGTGGCTGCCCTTGGGCCTCGTCGACCGGCTCCTGTTGATCGTGTCGCGGCTCCTCCTAGGCAACACTGCCAGGCTCGGCCTCGACCGCCCTCAAGTAGGTCCCCTCCAATTAAAGAACTTGTCCGGAAAGACACCAGTGTTGGACGTTGGCACGCTTGCTAAGATCAAAAGTGGAGACATTAAGGTAATTTTTTCCTGTTTATGCAAATCGATAAGTTATGTATTAGGAAAAAATATAACTTTTTTTTTTTTTTCCAATTTATTTGAACATATTAACTTTCTAAGTGTTTGATTAATCCCATGTAGTCTTTTCATGAATGATTGATTGCCAAGTGTTACAATATTTTCCTAATTCATTCAAGCAATGGGGAATTTAATCCCGATTTTATTTTGCCAATATTTGGAAATTTCAATTATTCATTCAAAATCTTCACCAAGGATCCTCTAGAGTGAAATTTTCCTAAAGTTTCCTAGAGTGCTATATTGTGTGGTTGAGATTTACTGGCAAGTCACATCAGAAAAATTGATGTGACTTGCCAGTAAATCTCAACCACACAATGTAGTACTCTAGGAAACTTTAGGAAAAAATCACTCTAGAGGATCCTTACTCCAAAATCTTATGTGTATAATCAAAAAGGGTAAAGTCTCCTTAATTAGAATTGTAGTTCAAACCATCTTTACTTACTAATTTTCTTTTCTTCATTTTTTTCAGGGCCCATAAATAGAGAAATTTTTTGAATTGCAAATTATTATTAATTAGATCTTATTGTGTCACTCTTGTTGTAGGTATGTCCAGGCATTCGGCGATTAACACATGATACCGCTGAGTTTGTCAATGGAAGAAAGGAGAATTTTGATGCAATCATCTTAGCAACTGGTTATAAAAGCAATGTACCCTCTTGGCTAAAGGTACTTGTTTTTCATCTTCTTTTTATTTTATAGTTTCTTTGTTAATTAAGTGTATGTATGTTATATTCTCACAAGTTCAAAGGACTAATAAGGGATTGAATTGTCCCCTTCCAGGAGAGAGATATGTTCTCGGAGGAAGATGGTTTACCGCGGAGGCCATTTCCAAACGGTTGGAAAGGCGAGTCTGGGCTATACGCTGTAGGGTTCACCAAACGAGGGTTGCTTGGTGCATCAATCGATGCTAAGAGGATAGCAGAGGACATTGAACAGTGTTGGAAAGCCAAGGCAAAACATCTTACTTCCTTTGCGAGCGCTCTCTCCCCCTAATCATGCTTTTTTGCAACTTTTGAGTTACAAAATATAGAGTTGGTTAATTTGAAAAAGTCTATAGTTGATTTTGGAGGGTTTTTTGGTGGTACCAATGGCACAATGCGTTGGTACCAAGGAGTTGCTCCTCCATTTGAGGAAAAGAAGAAAAGTAGAAAGAGATTTGTAGGAGTGAAGAGCCCTCTCTTTTCATTAACACCAAGCCTTGGGAAATAGGAGAGACTTGCAAAAGATGAATGGTGTTTTTCTTAGAGGGGGACCTCAACTTCTAGTATCCATTTTGTACATCTTGTACATTGCCATTGCCCTAATTGTTAGGTATGCCTTTAGAGAGAGAGAGAGAGAGTTTTTGTAAGGGTGTTTGAATTTGGTTTGCAAATTGACATGAGTGGTTAACCAAGATTTTACATGGGTTCTTTCGTTTTGAATTTTTTTTTTTTTTGGGGGGGGGGGGGGGGGGTGGGGGATTCTTGTGTATAGTTGATGAGTCTCCAATAAGGATTTAAATTTTGGGGCTTTTTGTTTGGAGGAAACTTAAAGGATTGATATACATGACTTCTAATAAAAACTTGATAGTGAAATTTTGGTACCAATCTTGTATTATATAATTTCTGGAGCATTTATAATAATCTCTTATGATTTATGGCAATTGTATTGTTGAAATGATTTCATTTCCAAGTAGAAGACAGGACCACAAAATTTAATGTGCCAACTTTAAATATGCCAATTTTTTAGATTGGGCAAAAATTAATTAATTCCTTCTCTCTTGATTGAGATGCATTTGAAGACTTTTTTGTTTGCTTAAGCATCCACTTGAAATTTTAAGTCAAAATTAAATAATAATAATAATATTATTATTATCATTATTATTATCATTATTATTATTATTATTATTATGAAAAAGGAAACAAGATGTTGGTTTAATTTAAGTCTCGTTAGATGCAGTTTATGTTATAATAAATACTCCTATAACTTTTTCACTTTACCCTTACTTAAATATGTAGTGGACACAAAGACTCATGCGCTACGCTATCCATTGCTATCGTGACAAATTTTTTATTCTTTTATCACTGAAAAACATTTGGCTATCAGAAAATCTATTAACCCAGAAAAATAATGCATAAAGTTAACTAGAAAATTAATTTATGATTTAGATCTAATTATTGTACAATGGGAATACTCACATGTGAAATGAATCTCAATCATCTATTATTTTTTTTGATATTTTTCAAAAAAAAACTTTATGAATCCTAGCATAGTTGTTTGGCTATTGCTTTAGCAATTATGGGTAGTGATTGAGCATACATGAAGGCCATGCCTCTTTTCCTTCTAAGGCTAACTTAAAATAAAGGAAAGCAAAACAGCAATAGAGATGTGCACTGAATCCACATACATACAACATTACGCTATCTTATTATGGGGAAAAAAAAGGGAGTCATCGCAATTCAAAAAAACAAAAAACGAAAGTGGAGGGTGGAGAGTGGAGAGTGGAGAGTGGAGTGGTATCATGTTGGACTGAATTCTCCATGACATTGGAAAGCAACTGCTAATATATATAGACATATAACCATTATAACAAGAGATGTTCCTCCCTAAGCATTATAACAATAAATCAAAAATTGATATTTTTAAGTTGTTGTATGGAGAGCTTTAGGAAAAATGAGTCACACTAGAATTGTTGATGATTATGAATATAGAGAATATGAACTAATAGTACAGAATGAATAAAGATTGGCTGCTGATGTGTTGTCTTTTCTGTTCCTCTCTTCTGTTGGTTTCTCACCAACTGGAGCTGGGTGCTTTTTAGCCCCAAACGTCTTTTTATTGATGTAATCTTTCATTCCTTGTTTGTTTCATCAATAAAGATTTTCTTTGCCGATTAAAAAAAAAAATAGTACAGAATGAATAAAGATCAAGAGGAATAATCACAAATGCACAATATCATAAATTACGTGATTTAACCTAAAATTAAGTCTACAGTAATCACACAAGAGTAGATTCCCCTAATACAGAGAATAATTGATCTGAAAAACTACAATATAGTGACAAAACAAACTCTCGCAAATAACCAAGCTCACAAAAAAAAAAAAAAAAAAAAAGGGCAAAATCCATTTATACTATTGCAATAATAGCTAAATGTCACACAAAGTATTGAAAACATCACAGTTTGTATAAAACCCAAAACGCTGATAAAAAAATTGAATAATATCTTTCATCTCAGTTTTTCACACCAACCAAGATAAAAAATAAAAGGGAAGAAAAAAAGCCTCTTAATCTCGATTACTAGAAACCGAGATTATAGTCTATTTTTTTAATCTCAATTTTAAAATAAAAATAAGATACGAAGGAATTATCAATTAATAAGAAATCTCATTAATTGTGTGATATATTGGGAGATAAAAGTGTCTTACACGATCTCATTTACAAATTTTTGTTCTTAATACATTACGTAAAATAGTCTAACCATTAGACGACATATTCATTCATATGATAAAAATATTTCAAAACTTAATGAGGGCAAGCAAGTGAAGTCTCAAATCTCACCATTCTTAACAAAAATATTGGTGTAGGGGAAGAAGAAGAGGGGAGTGATGGCCCATCATATCATTTTCTTTGGTGGTATTTGGGCCATTTTTCCATCTATTATCATTTCTCTTCTTCTCACCCTTTTTTTTTGTTTTATGTATATGTATATATATGATATTTTAATGATTCTCCAGGTCAATTGAAGATTTTTTGTTCTATTTAAATTTAAAATTTTTGTATCTCAAAATTTTATTATAATTTAATAAATATAGTAAATTGGCATAAGTAAGAAAAAAAATCAAAAACTAAAAGTTAAAATTCTGGACTAGGGAGGACAATTTTTTCCTACCCTATCTCATATAGATTTTTGCTCACCTCAACAAGAAAATGGAACAGGGAGCCCCCGCTCCAATTTTATTTATTAAATATATGTATATATATATTCAATACAGTAAAACTAAAACATTAAAAATGGGTAAATTATCAATAAATTTTAATAGTTGGACTTAATTTTCATCAGGTCCTATTAGAAATAAGTCCTAGTAAAATCAACACTAAAAATAATTTTTTGTGATGATTTTTTACATATGTCATTAAAAATTGACAATTAGTAACTTTTTTTGTCACGATTTTTATAAATTGTCACTAAAACTTACAATTAGTGACTTTTTCTGTAACGAATTTATCAAACTATCGCTGAAAGTTAAAAACTAGTGACCTTTTTTTGTAATAGTTTTTTTAAACTGTTGCTAAAAGTTATAATTAGTGACATTTTGTGTAAAATATATATATATATATATATTAAAATATAATAAATTATATAAAAAATATTTTGAACTATGTAAAGATTGTATTGACTCTAACCTCTCATTTTATTTTTATTTTTTTTAACATTTTCTTACACTTATTGGCAACCAATTGAACTGTCTTTATTAGAAATATTAATGTTAGGAAAATGATAAATAGGTTGCCGATGATATGGTGAAAAATGGAAAAGGAAACTTATTGTTTAGAATCTTCCAACAATTTGAGGGATGTTGTTCATAAACTTATGACTAAAATACAAACATCGGGTTGAATTTCGGGATTTTTGGTGAGACCTCCTTTTTTGGACCTTTTTTTAAGATAAAGGACAACTCAATGAATTCTCCTTCAAAAAGCACCTGAATAAGAGAAGCCCAACTCAACAAGGACATTCTATAATTTGTTTTTTCTTTTTGGCCATATTGCCCTCATATATATATATATATGTATCATATATTTAAACAATCTCAGCTCATGCATAAAACGATCTTGAAGATGATCTACAAAGTGAAGATGATCTGCGAAATCCATGAAGACAATCTCAAAGTCTAAAAATCTCACAGCCGACGATCTCACCCTTGGTCAACAATACACGATCTCACCATCCAAGATCAACACTCTCAATTAAATGAGAGATTACGTTGCAAAGCTATATAAATTTGTTGTTATTTTTTATTTGTTTTTGTTGATTTGCTGAGTTCAATCAGGTGTGCTCTATTTTTGTTTGACATGATGAAAGTAAAATTTTACTCTGATTTGTACTCTGTTTTTGTTTGACAGAATGAGAGTAAACTTTTAGTCTGGTTTGTGCTCTGTTTTTGTTTCATAAAATGAGAGTAAAATTTTACTCTGGTGTTATCTATTATATTTTCTTAAAATGCAAGTAAAATTTTACTGCATTTCAGAGTAAAATTTACTCTGAATTGAAAGTAAAATTTTACTGTGTTGTTGAATGTTCGTCTATGTAGTTTCTGATTTGTTTTCTGGTAAAATTTACTCCGAATCTTCAGAGTAAAATTTACTCTGAATCTTCAAATGAAATTTTACTTTATTTTAAAGTAAAATTTTACTGTATTTCAGAGTAAAATTTACTCTGAATTGAAAGTAACATTTTACTGTATTGTTGAATGTTTGTCTATGCAGTTTCTGATTTGTTTTTTAGTAAATTTTACTGTATTTCAGAGTAAAATTTACTCTGAATCTTAAAGTAAAATTTTACTGTGTTGTTGAATGTTTGTCTATGCATAAGAGAATACACTTTATTTTTCATTAACCAGAGTAAAATTTTACTGTTGCGAAAACAGAGTACATATTAGATAAATGAATTATAGTCGAATTTTACTTTAGATATATGAACAAACAAACAAAAAACTCTCGATTTTTTATTGTAATATATCAATTTATCATTTTTTTGGACATATATGAGGTCATTTTATCTCAAATCTGAAACTATTGATCTCAAACATGAGTTCATAGGCATCAAATCTGAGATGGTGATGGATTTCAATGGACGATTTCAAAATTTCGATTTTGTGAGATGGATCAAAAATGGAGATCAAAAGGGTTTAGGGCTTAAAAAGAGAGAAAATAAAAGGAATCAAGAGAATACCAGTAATGTAGAGATAGAAAGGGAAGAGAAATGGTTCAGCGAGGGTTTTGGATTATATGGAAGGGCATTTCAGCCTTTTCATCATATTTTTTTATTTGAGGGACTTTTGAAACTATTATTTTATTTGGTGGGCTTCACACAAAAAAACCCCCATAAAAGGAGCTTTTCACCAAAAATCCCTTGAATTTCTCTTTAATCCACGTTTACATTGTTTAAGCTTATATAACTCACTATAAATCCTGTTTAAAAGTAATAAAATGAAAATAAGGTTAATTACACTAATAGTCCCTATAGTTTAGGACTTGTGTCACTTTGGTCCCTGACTTTTCAATTGTGACATATTTGACCCTGAATTTTGAATCTTGTTCTAAATAAGGACAATTGAAAATATCATTAGATTTTTCAAGGGTAAAATGGTCAATTTGATAAAATATAAACTAATTTGACAAAAATAAATGTCAAACAAATATTTTT